GGGGGGGGGATTGTGAGGACGAATGGGAGTCAGAGCGCGAGGCGGCTTTCGTCGGTCGGTCAACCGGATCCAGATCCAGGGGCGCGGATCGCGAGGCAATGCAGCACGCGGGCCGCAGGCGCGTGTCGGTGGCGACAGGACACCGGGCCGCGCGATCAATGCCGAGGGGCGTCCGGGGGTCGCAACGAACCCACTCGCGCGCCCCCCGTGCCTCTGCTGGGGCAAAGCGGACCTATGCGCAGCCCTCGGGTGCGGCGGCAGCAGCGCCGCCCGCGCAGGCGATCTCAACACTCATAGCTAGGGTTTTAGGCCAAAATCTGAACCCTGACGACACACTCACGCCTTCCAATCGAGGGCCGGGGCCGCGCCGCCCAGGCAGCCGTACACGACCAGGGTGCCCCCCTGCACGACACATGGCGGCCAGGTGCAGATGACGTCAGCATGCGAGCGGGCGCGGCGGCGTGCGTGCTGGCAGCGGGGTTGCTTGGCGCCGCCGCTCCAGGGTGCGTGCAGGCCTGTTGAGACTCCGCTGTGCGCAAGCAGAGATGAACCCATTGTTCAACGTGTCCCACAGTCCCAGCTCCAGCCCCAGCCTGCACCGATTGAACAGCAGGTAGAGCCTGCAGCTGCAGCTGCAATCAAAACGAGCGCCAGCCAATCCCAGGCGGCAACAGCCAACCCGACTGCAGCAAGGGGGCCCAGCGAGTTTGGTTCCGGCGCGCAACCACGCACACCCATGGCGCCGCACGAATCCATTGTCGACTCACGTCGCAGAGCGCGTCGGCCATGCGCGCGGCCGAGGCGCCGCCGACGGCGTCCAGCGCGAGGGAGGGGCGGGCAAAGTGCTTCAGCGGGCCCAGCTGCGCCTGTTGGATTGGCGAGGCCGGGCCACAGGAGGATGCGGAGCGCGCGGGGAAGGTGGGCGGTTTTGGGTGCGAACGATGCACGGCCGGGCGTGCGTTGGCGGGGACGAGGGCGCCGGCGCTGGCATCTTCCGGGGGCTGCTGCGACGGCGAGGCCGTTGCTGCTGGGCCCAGGGCCGCGCTGGGAAGCAGGCGGGCGAAGCCCCTTGCACCAAAATTATCGAGCCCCTGCCCTGCCAGCAGGGGCTCGATCTCATCGCCTCAGTGAGGCGGTGAGAGGCTGTGCCCTTTTGCCTGCCTTGCGGCCGGTTGCATCGCTTGCCGCCTGCGCCGTGCACGCGCCGGGGGCCCCCTAAAACCACCCCCCACCCAGCAGGGGCGGCCGCCCACCTGGATGGCCCCCTCATCCCTCAGCACGTGCGTCGCCCCCAGCGCAACCAACCGCTCCGCCACCTGCCGCCACCGCGCTTCGTCCCTCCCGCCCGCGTCGCCGGTGTCTGTGGCCGCCCCCTGCTGACGAGCGGGGCCGACGCCGCCCTGACTGTCGTTGACAGGCGGCGGCGGCGGCGACGCCGCAGGCGGGCGCAGCAGCGCGAGGGTCCGGAGCTTGAGCAGCCGCGCCAGCTGCAGCACCGCGCGGCCGACGGTCGAGTTTGGGGCGTTGAGGATGACGCAGTCGCCGGGCTGCGCGGTTTTGCGCACGAGGGGGCAGGCAGGCGTCCACGACGGCAGATCGGCGGTTGGTCGTGGGTCGAGGTGGGTACTGTGAATGGATGATATCATCAATATGCACAATCAGCTTCACAATCGGCTCCCTCTGGTGGCAGGTCCGGCGACCACATTACCTCGTCCATCAGATCACCTCAGATCACCTCAGATCATCTAAGATCACCTGAGATCACCCTCAGATCGAGGAGTCAGGATCAACGATCTCAGATTACTCACACCTTGAGGTCATGCATCTCCAGCAGCCTGTAGGCCGCCAGCAGCTCCCTTGAAACCGCCAGATACTCCAGGGGCAGCAACACATCCACACCGCCACCCAGACGAGATGTGGAAGTGGAATCGTCACCCTTGATCTCCCCCCTGACCTTGCCCCCTGCACCACCGTTTGCCGCCCCCGCGGCCCCGGCCGCGTCCCGGCAGATCGCCGCGGCCGCCGCGCCGCCGCCGCCGGCCGCGTCGCGCCAGCGGGCGCCGAGGGAGCCGACGCGGGTCAGGGCCTTGGCCCTCCATACGGCAGCTGCGCGCCAGGTGCCCATGAGGGGGGCGGCCGGCTGCACTAGATCGCCCTCCGCCAGTGCCCCCTTGACGCCTGGGCCGACCTGGTTTTGGCGGGACAACGGTGGCGGTCTGGAGTTTGAAAGCGAGTTCAAAAGCACAGCAGTGGGACTGAGACGTTTTGCGGCCTGCGGGTGTTGATACAGAGGAATGACGGCCGATCAAGGTGCTTAGCGGGGGGGGGGTGGGGCTGGCGCAGTTGTCGTCGTCCTGGGCGCGCGGCATGCATCTCCGGGCGCTCCGTGATGCATATGGGAACAGCGTGGAAGGGGACCCACTCAACCAAACCAAACAAGCTCAGCATCGCTGACGAAGCATTGAGAAAAGAGAGTGCAGCTGTTGACACACCGCTTTCGTTATCATCCGGTCAGAGACGGTTTACGTCCAAGAATCAAAACAACAGACACCTGAGCCCGTCAAGCGCGACGTGGCGCCGCTGCGCAGGCGTTTGCCGCCCCGCCCACAGCCCCGCCCACCCTGGCGACGAGGCCGACGCCGTCGTGGCCCGCCACACAGGGCAGGCGGCCTGCTGAGGCGTAGCCGTAGATGCCACCCAGCGCAGCTGAGTACACGTCAGCAGGCCCTGGGAAGCCGGGCAGGCAGAGATGGGGTGGGGTGAATTGGGTTGTATTTGGGGGGGAAGGGCAGTTGCAGTGGCAGGATAGGTCTGGTGCTGCTTGCTGAGGGAAGCGGGGCCCGGCAGGGGGGGGGGGCCACGCCTTCGAGGCAGCCCGGGCGGCCCACTGGTGCGCGCCGCCCCAACGACGGCAGATCTGGTCGCATGTACCGTGCAAGTGCCTTGCGCCACGTCAGGGATCATATCAATTGGGTTGTGGTGCGCGGGGCGGGGCGTCCGCCGGCATCATTAATCATCCTATTGATCAACTGCTCCACGAGTCTCACCAACGGGTGCCACCAGCATGACTACGAGCACCTCCCCATATTCCAGCTCAGGGGGCAGGGCC